CCCCAAAACCCCAAAACCCCAAAACCCCTAGATGGTATGAAAAAATAAAATAAGGGTAATAGAATATATGAAAGGGGTATTCAAATGCATTGAAAATATTTCATAAATTTAAATAAATATAGAGAATAAAATAATGGGAGCAGGTCCTGTTTGCTGTATTACCCCTAAGGCATAATACAGAGAAAAAGATCAACCTAATAACACAATCATGAAGAACAAGGAATCGAATAAGAGTATAATTCATAATAACAACTAGTCAGCTTTAAGCGAGTCTTCTCATCCTTGTCTTCTTAGTAACGACGATCCTACAAATCAGAAAGTTAGCCAAGCTAACTCAAACCTAGTTAGGTAATTATAAACTACTGATTCAAGGACTAAATTGACATTAGTAAATAAAACAGACTTACAGCATCAAACTCTTAAGAATGTCCAGTCATAGAAAGTGCTTGATGTACGTAATCAAGAGAACTATAACTTAAACAATGAAAATATAGATAAAAGTATTCAGGGCTGGATTTAAGGCAAAGAAAAGTCAACTGTCATAGTAAAGAATGCTGCGAATGCTGAGCTAAACAAGGACAACACCTAGTTTGTTGGCAGATCAATTTCAAAGATCAATGCCACTGTTAGATCATCAAAGCAAGTAAGCCTCATGAACTCAAACGTTCATAGTAAAAATGGCAAAAAGAAAAAAGGAAAAAAGAAGAAGAAGGGAGTTGCTAAGAATCAACCTCAGCCATCTCTCATCATTAATAGCAGTAAAAATCAGACTAAAAACGATAAGACTAATACTAATATGATGGAGAGTAAATCTGTAGATTTTTAGATTACCTATATTGAAAGGAAATAAGACTCATTCTACCAGAAGGGAAGTATCACAAATGTGACTAATTTCTTAAGATCTGCTAACATAACGAATGAGCAGCTAGCTGGTTTGAGATCCACTAGGTTCATGAATTAAAAATCAATCAATTAAGATGAGCAAATGATGTTTAGCGATCTAATTTTAAGAGAGAAGATGAACTCTGCTCTGGAAACTTCCATGCCAAATAGAAGTAGGAAGTACCTTGATGGTCGACCGTCAGAAGAATAGAAAGTTTCACAACACTTGAGTAAACCTAATTTCTAACAGCCTGGAAATGGAATGGTAAAGTCCCCTTACTTCAATCATTCTCATCCGGACAGCGATGCAATCACAACAAAAAACGAGCGAAGCGTGAGAACAAGACAATACCCAGTGATTGGAACATATCAAGATGACTACGAAATTGCCAGTGGAGGGGGGCAATTAGCTGGAGATGTTGACGAAGATTACTGTTATGAATAAGGTGATCCACTAGAAGATGAAGATGATGAAAGTTTTGAAAAGGAAGGAATTTCGCCTAATGAAGCTTGCTACATTGACGTTGATCCAATAGAATTGAACAATCTTATACCTCTCAACGACTCTATCGCTTTGATTAGAGCCGTTTAATATAAAGGAAGAACTAAAATGATTGACAGTAAGGCTTTTCATCTCTGGGAGCCTACTATCCATGAGAGAGCTAATTTTTACAACTCGAATCCATCTCCTTATACGGATGAAAAGGTTGACATTAAACTTGGAATAGATTAAGTGTGGAAAAGAATAGGAGAAATATCTAAGACTCCTTATTTAATGAAGGAAGAATTTTAACCTAGTAAAATATTTATAGGAGAATCCTCGAGCGAATCAATAGTCTGTGCTTTGATTTCAGTCATTAACCATGACCTTAAGTTTAGTACTAACTACATTGGACAATCACTGTATCCGCAAAATATGGTTGGAAATAAATCAATACTTCAAAATAGCAAACCTATACTAAATAAGCACGGAAAATATGGTGTGAAATTATTTCTAAATGGAGCTGAGAGACTAATTGACATTGATGATAGACTTGTCTATGATGTCAAAAGTAAGATTATACCATTTAAAAACTTTTTTTTAGAACAAAAGCATTAATTCTGCACATACGAGCCTTTAGCTCGTGATGACTTCTGTCTTGCACTAATTGAGAAAGCATTTTGTAAATTGTATGGAGGCTATGATTCCATGTCCAAACTTTAATAAAATCCTTCTATTGACATTCATCATCTGACGAACTGGATACCAGAGACAGTCAATTTTGAAGATTTGAATAACAAGGAAAGCTTATGGGGCAGATTATTGTAAAATTTTAGAGAGCAAAACATTATAATCTGCTTGCAAGAAAATGTGATTGACTAGGATTTGCAGGGCAGTCGAAGTTAAGGTAATGGAATTAAAGAATAAAAGAGATTTTATGCTGTTTTGGATCTAATTGAGACTAATGACCTAAAGATCATATAATGTAAGAGTCCATATAAGAATGAAAAGAGATTGATGTAATTCATTCATGATAACTCCTAATTACCCATGCAATTTCAAAGGGAAAATAAGCTTGTTCTTGACACTGGAGTATTCTACATGGTTTGGTAAGATGATATCTCCGACTATTTCAGCTGTATCACTCTCTGCTGGAATCCAAAAATCTATCCATTCATTAAGAGTGTTACTACAAAATTTGATTTTACTCTAGATAGAAATATCAAGTTTAACTAGCCACAGTTCAGTGTTTATAACTGTCCATAAGTACTATTCACTATACCGCCTCATTAAGAAGACTTTGAAATAAGAATCATGCTAAGAAAGCATGTGAAGTCATTCTAAGTTCACAATAAAATCTAGTTTAAATTATTTACCTTTGATGGATAAAGAATAGTATATCCTAACGAGACTCTAAGAAACTCCTTGCCAAACTCAAGAGAGATTATGTCTGACGTGTTTATATTTGAAAACTCATAAGAATATGAGTGCTATGTATTAGTGCTGATTAATGAAGGTGATGAGGATATGAGTAAAATCTATGAATACTTCACTCTGGATGTTTATTCTTTCATTGATGTCGATCTCAAAGAACTTCCAATGCCATCTTATGACAAATAATATGTTCTATCTGGATAATGGTGTCAAAAGCAGTAGAAATAGATGAGCAATGCTGGTGGTTTAGGGGCTTCGTAATAAACAACTGCTGGCCATGGAGGCAGCAATAACAAAAATTCAATAGTATAGGCACCTTTATAGATAATTTATAATCCATAATATCGAATTAAGGTATTTGAGCCCACTCATGTATAACTTAATCTTGATACTATTGATACCTATGATGTGATGCTTTCAATTCATCAATCAGGAAATGGAGCTCCTGAGGAGCCATTCTAAAATTTTTTAGCTAATTCTAATCAAGGATTCTTTGTAAAAGGTTTCGGATTCATGGAAATTATCCTTGATCCCATGGAATATACTTTGGTCATAACATCCTAAGTCTAATAAAATGTAAAATCAATTTTAATTTATAAGAATATAGCTTGGTGATTTCAGAGTTGAACTGAAAAAGATTATCTCATCAAAGTTTGAGTATCATAAAGATTTCATTATTGAAGAACTTGAGCCAAAGGGTATGCCGTAAGAGGCAAGGCCAAGCAAAGTGCCATATAACTAGCATAACTCAAATAAAAATGAAAAAGTTTCATAAATTGAAATTAATTAGTTGTTCATGAAATCAGATATGAATAAGATGAAATAAGAGCAGCTTAACTTTAAGAACTAGTTTAACATAGAAATCAGGAAAATGCAGGATGACATTACCGACTTAAGGGATATAAATCTTAAATTTGAAAACAAATTCGATAATTTGTTCAGCGCTTTGACTGAACTTGCAGATAATCAAAAGAAAATGCAAGGCAATATGTTAAGTATTCAAAATAATGTAATGACGATGGATCAGAATGTTTCTTCGATGAGAAGCGATATGAATTTAATAACAAATCAAATTAAGAACTAGAAAAAGCAGTGATTAGTGGATATTAACTGACTATATAATTATTTACTTTGTAAAATTCCTATTCTCTCTATTGACTAATTTTGAAATACCAGGGGTTTTGGGGTTTTGGGGTTTTGGGGTTTTGGGG